ACAAAATCCTACGCACTGGTCCTTGAGGACAGGGCTGGCCATCAAAACTCAGGGGGAAAAAGCTGGGTCATGAAAAATTGCATGGTATTCAGATGTTTTGTTTTGTCCGCCCAACACCTCAAAACCCCCAAATATTCCAGTTTATTGTCACAAAGACAAAAGAAAAGTAGCAAATCCTCAAAAGTCAGAAGCCGGAACTAGGAGATGTTTAGCATTTATGGTTGAAAAATAATTAAAAGGATGATCAAAATCGATCCTTCAAATCGATTAAATGACAGATAAACAACATTGTAAAATCAGTGGAGATAGTGATCTTTGGTATCTACCAGCATACCGGAGCTGTGGGCGGTAAAAGTCAACTGGTGACTTCTTAACCTATCCTGGTACTCTCTGTGCTTTCAGCATTGCCCTTAAATGACAATCAGAAGATCGGACTATTTCAAAAGAGACTGTTGAATGATCCTGTCTGGTTTATTGAGCCAAAGGTCATTTCCCAATTATAGCTAGCACATTTGATTTGGGGATTTCAGGTCAAGGGTTGAACAACATTTAAACATGTATTTTATGCTTTTGTTAGTTTCTCGTGGTGTTAGCAATGTCAGCACACATATGTAATGTATACCTAACTGTTTCCAAAGAGAGTTAGGAGCATTAGAAATCTAGTGTTGATTGTGGCTCACATTATGGGTTTGTGGTGATTTAGAACAACATATTGGGCTGCAGTCAGGTGTACTGTACGGTGTCCTTACAGAATACCTGACAAGATAATCAAATCTAACACCTGAAATACTGAAATATACTCAGTTACCGAAGCCAACCCAAGTATATGGCCGCTAGTTAGCACCACCACAGCTACAGGTTACCAGCTGATGCTACAACTAATACCTCTACACGTGCTGCTGCTCCACTGCAGTGGTTGGTGTTTGTTAACTTTTAACAGGAGTCACCTATCACCTACTTTATTGTTTGGTTAACTTTTTGTTACGGTCTCCTCTCACCTACTGACCTGCCCTAATATCTGCAAACATGAACGAAGAAGTATAGATTTTGCAGTGCACTGTCTGGATAATGTTAAAAAAAAAAAAAAAACGGGTCAAATAAACTGCTGTGAATTGTTTTTGTTGTCAACACAGCTTTGGAATTTTTTTTTTTTTTAAATAATGGATAATTTCAACTTAATCTCAACCAAGAAGTTCGATAGTGATCCATGTGCATTGTTATTGAGGCCAGCTGCTTCTTCCTTGACACCAGAAGAAGTAATAATAAGTAACATTATATTATGTGAAACACTAGGAACAGAAATATTTTGTTTCCCCTTCCTAGAATTTACTGTTGTCACTGTGGAAATTCCTCAAATTGTATTTACTGTCAGCCATGTGACACTTAAACACTACTCTGAAACCAATAATAATAATTAATAAGGAGGACATCTATTCAGTG